ACACCCAATTAAGTCTATCAGAAGAGACATGCAAGGAATTTTGTTGCCAGGATAGAAAGATAGGGGACATATATAAATATGGGGATATAAAACTTTTAAAAAATCGAAACCAAAATTTCACAGCACAGCATAGAAAGTTATTTAACAGGAGCAGACATTTCTTATTCCAGGTTATCACATTCTGATATCTATCCAGAATATTATAACTGAGTTTCTTCAATAACAGGTGAATTTGCACAATCTCACATGCATAATATTTGCACAATTTCATATATGAGAGCCAATTTGGTCTATTAGTTAAGGCACCAGGCTAGAAGGCGGGAGTGGGAATTCAAATCTGCTTTAGCCATGAAAGCCAGCTCAGTCATTCTCTCTCAACCCAGCCCACTTCATAGGGTTGATGTTGTGGGGAAAATAAGAGAAGGAAGATGTATTGGATACATTTGTCACCTTGAGTTATTTGTAAAAATAGTAAAGGTGGGATACAAATAAATAAATATCATTTGTTGTATCTAACCTCCATCACAGTGCAAATCACAACATAGGTAGTATTCAGGTTATGGCCACCCATTAAGCTACCATAGATTCCATATTCCATAGTGCTGTTCTGACCCAGGCTTCCTGAGCAGTAACAATCACATGCTGTTTCTAAAAACCATTTTTTTTATTTCAATGGCTGTGAATTATACGCATTCACAGCCCGTAATAAGTCCCAAACAGTTTATGAATAGTCCAACAGACGTCTTCCACAGTCTTTTGGGATAAGGCTGATAAGCACCCACCTTTATCTCCCTTGAAATGCTGACAATGACTAAATTGCCAGTTAGCTGTACAAGGCCAAATGGAGCACAAAGTCAACACGGAGCTTCAGATTTTAAACCAACCAGAATGAACAATGTTGCTTCCTGCAAAGGCTCATGTCCATTTGCTCCTCCTTTATGGGAGGGGCCAATCATCTCCAAGCCTTACTCCTGAGTCACCCCTTTTGTCTTAACTGTTCTTGCCTTCTGGCAGTTCTGTGCAAGCACGCACTGGGAACAGGCTCCCCCTGTTCCTCTGCCTCACTGATGTCAAATTCTGCTGCCAGTTCTGCAGGCTGGCGGCAGACTACAACAAGTGGCAACCCACTGCTCTCACACACTGGTATGCTTGCCTGGGATGTGGTTTCAGCATCTGTTCCTAGATTGTGGACATGTGAGGTTCACACTTAGCAACCCACAAAGTCATCACTTAACAATGACACCAGGATTGGTTCTCATATATGAGATTGGGCAAATTCACAGTGCTATTGTTTTTACTGATTATTGCATTCCTTATCAATGACTTAACAGTTCCTTATTTTTATTTTGCACCATATAGCTTTGAAGACAGATTTTTTTAATTAGAGAGAGAGAGAAAGAATGCTAAGTATCCCAGCAGATAATTCAAATTCTAGCATCTTACCTGGAGATATTCTGTAGCAGATTACAAAGATCCAGCATTCAGGGTTGCTTGTATTATCTTCATTATAAGCAATTTCCTTTTTGTACTCAAACTAAAGAATAGTCATTTTATTTCTCCTGTCTAAAAAAAAAAGAGTGAGGGATTTAGCCTCTGAGGACATGTTCCTTTGATTATATGACGAGATGTATAATGGATGCCATGAGGTTGCTCCTGTATTTTCCTGTCCCCTCATATCTCCAGCACATCCTGGCACTAACATTAAATGCCATGGCCCCCGGCCATTTCATGTGCCTTCAACTAACAGTGTAGTCCTTTGAATATTATTTACAGAATGGGAAATGATTGTCAGTAGAGAGAAGATTTGTGAGTTCCCCTCCCACTTTGAACATTAATCAGCATAAAACTCCCTCTTTTAGAAGGTTCACATCTGTGAGTTGGTTTACTGATAACAACCTCAAGTAGTTATTTGGCTGAAAAGTCCAAATAAACTCAATGGTTACAAGATAGTTTCATAGAAGAGCCAGGGATTGGTTTGTCTACAAGAAAAGCATGGTATGCATTATATGTTAGATGTAAACCAGTGTGCTTCCCTCCTCTGTCATGGATTGGCTAAGCGTTGTATCAATCAAATGGATTGGGGGTTAACTTTCCCATGGATTGGGGGTTAACCATCATGATCCTGATTCATAAAAATATAGTGTATTCAAGAAATTATAATCAATGTAATTATAGTGTTCCATAGGAAATTCTATCACAATGGTCATCATCTACTCTGTTATATTGAATTTCAGGTGAAGTCTTACCAGAGATGTAGATGAAACAACAATAAAAACACCACTACATCCCACAAATTTATTTCAAACCACTTTGGATCCACCACAGTTACAGAAACAAAACCTGAAGTGTTTTCATTACTTCTGGTTTGGTCAAAATGAAATTTAGAAGGTTCCCACTATATTTTATAGATCATGTAGGCAAGGTTGATATATGTTATCCCCTGTCTTCCTCCTCCCCGTGGCCTGCAAGTAAGCCTGCCTATTTCCTGTTATCCTACTATCTATCTATCTATCTATCTATCTATCTATCTATCTATCTATCATCTATCTATCATCTATCTTTCTTTCTTTCTTTGTTCCTTTCTTCCTTTGCCACTGTATATTGCCTAGATATGTGGAAAACATATTTAGCAATTTGCCCATGCTAATCTTTCCAGTACCTTCCCTCCCCGCCCTGCACTCTCTCAGCTACCAAAGTCCCAACATGTCATATCCCATCAATTTTGTGTTGCTTCTAGAAGAGATCACCAAATCATCATTCAAATTCTGATCCAGCGATAAGCAAATTGGGCTTAGTATTTTAGTTGGTAAAGGCAAATATATGATGTTATTTCTGCTTTGTTTCATATAGATTCCAACATGCCTTTTCTGTACTGTATTGTACTGGTTATAAAGATGATCAATTGATTTCCTCTTCCTCGTAGGCTCAGCTGTACCCAAGTCTACTTCTAATTGCTAT